CAGAGAGAGACCAGAGAGAGACCGGAGAGAGACCAGAGAGAGATCAGAGAGAGACCAGAGAGAGACCAGAGAGAGATCGGAGAGAGACCAGAGAGAGATCAGAGAGAGACCGGAGAGAGACCGGAGAGAGACCAGAGAGAGATCAGAGAGAGACCAGAGAGAGATCAGAGAGAGACCAGAGAGAGACCGGAGAGAGATCGGAGAGAGACCAGAGAGAGACCAGAGAGAGACCAGAGAGAGACCAGAGAGAGACCAGAGAGAGACCAGAGAGAGATCAGAGAGAGACCAGAGAGAGGCTAAAGAGAGACCGGAGAGAGGTACTCCGCTTTGAAAGACGATCTTTAGCTGTTCTGGAGGTTCTTTATGAATCCAGACTTCAACATTTGACGTGCGTTCTCAAATGTATGAGTGTTAAAATGTTAGGGACGTGTTGAATGAACAGTTTTACAATAGTTCACTCTGGAAAGACTCAATGTAGAGTGAATTAGAATATCTATTGTAGAGATGCATGAATAAACACAAGCAGAGATGAAGTACTATTATATTTATGGATAAGCTTTGGGGATTAGGTATTAGGTATACTGCATGACGTGTGCAGAAGGGAGTAGAAATTATGAGCTTGTGACCCCCGGGGCCTAGAACCTGGAGGCAAAGAAGCTGAGCCGAAGACATGTCATGATACAGCACTCAAGAGGTGGTGCTGGGGAGGAGGTGGGTTGCTGCTCAAACAGCAGCTTCAGCTGCAGAGAACTGAGAGGCTCTGTCTACAGTAAATGCAGCCATGATGAGCTCAGGTGTGTAGAGGGAGGAGTCAGTGTAGAGGGAGGAGTCAGTGCTGAGGGAGGAGTCAGTGTAGAGGGAGGAGTTAGTGCAGAGGTAGGAGTCAGTGTAGAGGGAGGAGTCAGTGTTGAGGGAGGAGTCAGTGTAGAGGGAGGAGTTAGTGCAGAGGTAGGAGTCAGTGTAGAGGGAGGAGTCAGTGTTGAGGGAGGAGTCAGTGTAGAGGGAGAAGTCACTGTAGAGGGAGGAGTCAGTGCAGAGGGAGGAGTCAGTGTGGCAGCATGACGTCTCTTTGGTCTTCCATTTCGAGTTTGTATTAATTGCTAATTTCCACAGGAGGCGTTACAGCACGTACGCGCAGCAGACGCGCGTACATTTTTTCCATGCAAACCAATGGGGATATTTACACAACTGGCGGTATACGCGCGTATGACGGACGTATGACGCGAGGCTGCTTATATTTTAGGATGGATTTCTAATTATGTGTACGCAGCAACACGTCTCCCAGTCAAAACACATGTGAAACATGATTTTTCTAGCGGTCCTTGGCTCTACGTCGCATCCACACACAAAGCACTTGAATCTAAACATCAGCAGAAGGAGCAGCAGATTTTACAGTGATTCTGGACATGGTCTTTTTTCTTTCATCAAGTCTGGCGTCTGGCCAAACCAGCGCACAGAGACCATGAAGACAAACACTTGCATGTTATTTGTGTTGCTCTACATCAGTCCTCTGGCTCGTACTGCCCTCTTGCCCAAAGACTACACAGACCTGCGCGCACGCCCAGTGTACAAACAGCCAAGTAATGTTACTGTGTAAATTCCCTGTCAAGCTTCAGAGTGTGAAGCAGTCAGTGGTGTTGGTGCAGATCTAAGCCACGCCTACTCACAGAACAGTCGTCCAGGAGCGGATCTTGCGCCGTTTTCTTTCATCGGAGAATGAATGAATGAAAGACGGTAGATTAAGGTTTGGCCTGTTAAACCTGTCTCTGCAAGCGTCTGGAGGCAGTGAGGTCTCGAGGTCTTACTGTAAATATGTGTTGATTCTCCACTTCCTCCTGGAGAAAGTTTACTAAACAGAGACCAGAACATTTGTTTGTGTTGAACATGAAATGCACTGTAACACAGGTGTAATTAACACAGGTGTAATGTGAGGTCTATGACACAGTAATGTGAGGTCTATGACACAGGTGTAATGTGAGGTCTGTGACACAGGTGTAATGTGAGGTCTGTAACACAGTAATGTGAGGTCTGTACACAGGTGTAATGTGAGGTCTGTACACAGGTGTAATGTGAGGTCTGTACACAGGTGTAATGTGAGGTCTGTACACAGGTGTAATGTGAGGTCTGTAACACAGGTGTAATGTGAGGTCTGTAACACAGGTGTAATGTGAGGTCTGTACACAGGTGTAATGTGAGGTCTGTACACAGGTGTAATGTGAGGTCTGTACACAGGTGTAATGTGAGGTCTGTACACAGGTGTAATGTGAGGTCTGTGACACAGGTGTAATGTGAGGTCTGTGACACAGTAATGTGAGGTCTATGACATAGGTGTAATGTGAGGTCTGTGACACAGGTGTAATGTGAGGTCTGTAACACAGTAATGTGAGGTCTGTACACAGGTGTAATGTGAGGTCTGTGACACAGGTGTAATGTGAGGTCTGTGACACAGGTGTAATGTGAGGTCTGTGACACAGTAATGTGAGGTCTATGACATAGGTGTAATGTGAGATCTATGACACAGGTGTAATGTGAGGTCTGTACACAGGTGTAATGTGAGGTCTGTACACAGGTGTAATGTGAGGTCTGTACACAGGTGTAATGTGAGGTCTGTAACACAGGTGTAATGTGAGGTCTGTAACACAGGTGTAATGTGAGGTCTGTGACACAGGTGTAATGTGAGGTCTGTACACAGGTGTAATGTGAGATCAGTGAGTGGTTAAACTCAGTTAAACTCAGTTAAACTCAGTTAAACTCAGTTAAACTCAGTTAAACTCAGTTAAACTCAGATAAAACTCTTTGACATCAGTCCAGAGTTATTTACTTTTGTGTCGGACCAACGCTTTCATCGGGGCCTTGTTTTGAAGTCTGGCGTGTGGGCGGGGCTTGTTGTGGGTGTGTCTTCAGGAGGCTGGAGCTCATTGGTCCGTGGGTGCGTAGCAGGAATGTGACATGTTGTTCCTTCAGCGGTCGATCTGAAAGACACGGCCGCAGGCTGGATCCTATCAGAGAATAGAGTCTGAGTGAGAGAAACAACCAGACGGCGTCGGTCACAGTCGCACTCTTTGAAGCTGAGGTCATGTTGTTACGTCTGCCGGTGGTTATGGTGTTTTAGGCGTGTGTTCCGGCTCAGTTGCAGGTGGGCTCAGGATCATAATCTGAATCATGTTCAAGCCGTTGAGACTGAGATGAGGCCTTCATCACTGGTCTGTAAATAAGAGACACCGTGGGGTTTTCTCTTCTTTCATAAACTCTGCTCTGTCCATAACTATCAGCCGCATCACAACATGACCTGCAGGTTTCAAAGAACTAGAAAAAAGTAGCAGCTTATGGTTTATCAATTACAGTAGTTTTCCAACCAACGTGATTTTAAAAGTTTCTTTTGTGTCAAAAAGCTACGTAAGGGATAATGTATCGTACACAGGTTACCTTATCCTTCAGGGCGAGGGTCCGCTTCACCCTGTCGGTACTTATTTTCCGATAATGACCTGTGTACGATACGTTAAACTCTTATTATGCGGCTTTGTACCAACAGAACACACAAAATAAACTTCAGTCTTCAGAAATTACGAAAGGTTTATTTAATGACAGAAAATAAAATTGTTCCCAAAGGCTTTCCCGTGGCTATGCTAGTAACAGTTAGGCTAGTACTAGTAACAGTTAGGCTAGTAACAGTTAGGCTAGTAACAATTAGGCTAGTAACAGTTAGGCTAGTAACAGTTAGGCTAGTAACAATTAGGCTAGTAACAGTTAGGCTAGTGACAGTTAGGCTAGCAACAGTTAGGCTAGTAACAGTTAGGCTAGTAACAGTTAGGCTAGTAACAGTTAGGCTAGTAACAGTTAGGCTAGTAACAGTTAGGCTAGTAACAGTTAGGCTAGTAACAGTTAGGCTAGTAACAGTTAGGCTAGTAACAGTTAGGCTAGCAACAGAATTCTGAACATCAGCGGTGAGTGACCCAAACATAAACTTAACCTAAATCCATAATTCCATCCTCTGCAAATGTTCCTAAAATGTCCCGGAATCTACTTCTGGGTTTTTCACGATTGCTTTTTCTCGCATTAAAATAGTATTTTTGTCATGAAAACGTCAACAGAAAATTCTGAAAACCTCCGTGCACGTGTGTGAAGAATGTATTTGTATAATGTATTCTCCCATTAACATTTAAATGTGTTGATTGATTGGTATTTGCGTTTGTTGAGCGCGGTTAACTCCGGAGTGGCCGGAACTACTTGCAGAGTAATCTACACATCTGAATTACAAACACAGAGTGCGTTGCCAAAGGGCAGCGGTCATTATTGTTTTGAGAGGTCCGTTATAAAAAATAATGACCGGTAGAACGTTTTGAAATTACATTCAAATCAATGGAGCGTTCTCCTGCTGCTGTGAGGAGCCTGTGATACAATTGCTTATTTACCTGACATGTTTTGGAGGTAGACTTCTGCTTTTCTACCAACTGAGCTACTGTCTAATAAATCATCCATCCATCCATTTTCTTCCCCTCAATCCATGTCTGGGTCGGGGGTGGGGGTGGGGGGGGTGGCAGTCAGAGCTGCGCCCAGTCCACAGAGCACCGGCCCCTCACTGATCCTCCTGCAGGTGCTGAGTCCACAGGAGCCGAGATCTTTCAGCGGGGCTTCAGGCAAAGTGGGGTTAAGTGTCTTGCCCAAGGACACAACGACAGCAGTCATCAGTGGGAGTCGTGAAGTAGGTCTCGTGGTGGATTTAAACCTACGACCTTCAGGCCCAAAGGCTGATGCTCTTCCAACTGAGCTACTGTCTAACAAATCAGGATAATAAATAATTGCAAGTTAGACCAGACCCCCTCCATCCCCTCAAGTCTTCAGGTTGAGTCTGGACCTGGACTCTCTTGAGGAACTGGGTCTGCTCCTGCTCCTTCAACCACAGCCTCAATAGCGCGAGCATGATCCTGTTGTAATTCCCTCAAATGAAAGCTGACTTCTCATAGTGTTTTCTGGTCTCCTCCTCTTCCCGCTGTGCTCAGGCTTTAACTGGATGGTGGGAGTCCTGCGTCAGATCATCGCGGAGTCCTTAGGAGTGAAGACCGAGTCCAGGATGCCGCCGCTCATCGAGTTCTTTGGTCCAGACACGATGAAGGTGAGGGTAGCTTTCTCCTGCAGGACGTGTGTGTTTGCTCATGTCTGCAGAGGCTGTGTCTGTCTCACCAGCCCACCAGGACCATGTGAGCCAAACCAGACTGAGAGGATCTGTCTCACTCAAACAGCAATATACTTGGAATTAAATCAATATGCATTTTATTGAAGGTCAAGACATGAGGACAGACATTAGACCAACTACAAAAGGAGAGGAGTAGAGAGGGCAATAATACTAATATTTCAGTTTCAGTTTCAGTTTAGTTTATTTAGAAACATGTGTGCATACTTCCTACATAAGCCGTAAAACAAAACCAAAATTTCTAATCCATTCGCATGTTCAAAAGGGAGTAGGAAGAAGCAAAAGCTTATATGGTCCTACCCCTCATTTACAAAATACGTTATTTATGTGGAAACAAGGGAAATGGTGCAATATTTACAAGTGTACAAACAAACAATAACATATATTTCTCTGAAAAGGTAAATACAAGATTAAATGTGTGTATGTAGTTTAACGCATACACACACACATATCTATACACATATACATACATACTCATACGAACATATAATACTCTACTCTGCCCTGATTGGTAAATATTGGGACTGACACGGTGGCTGAGTGGTTAGCACTCTCGCTTCTCAACAAGAAGGTCCTGAGTTTGAATCCTGGTCCGAGCAAGGTCTTTCTGAGTGGAGTTTGCATGTCCTCTCCATGTCTGCGTAGATTTCCTCCGGGTGCTCCGGTTTCCCCTAAAAACATGTACCATAGGTCTGTGGCTCCTGTACTGGCCCCTCCCATCTCTGTGTGACTCTGATCTGTGACAGGCGCTATATAAATAAACATTACTTACTTCCATCTTCCCTGTTTGATCGAGACCAGGTACATTTTAATTCTGCCCCGGCCAAGCTGGGCGCTGCTGCCATGGTTACCAAGGAATTTTGCGTGTGATTGTCCTCTGTCCTCTGGCTGTCGTGAAATAATTTTTTTAAAGCACATGTTTCAAAAAGTGACAAATTATACGGTAATAAAAGGTAATAAAAATTTTTTTTTTTTTTTAAATCTAGTTTTGACATTTTGACTGATTGTAAGCCAGATTTTCAAATGGAACAGGCTAAAACGTGTTGAAAAGATACAAGAAAATATTAAAAATGTCAACAAAATTCATCACTTTATATTTTGTGACTTTTGCAGTTTTCATTCTGTATCTGTTTTCTGTTATCTGTATTGTAGACGATAGAAAACGCTCCTTCTCCGAGAATCCTGGGAACCCACCTCCATCCGGACAACATCCCAGAGACCTTCTATCACAACAAGACCAAGGTAACTCAGTCCTGGGTCTACAGCCTCAGTCCTGGGTCTACAGCCTCAGTCCTGGGTCTACAGCCTCAGTCCTGGGTCTACAGCCTCAGTCCTGGATCTACAGCCTCAGTCCTGGATCTACAGCCTCAGTCCTGGGTCTACAGCCTTAGTCCTGGGTCTACAGCCTCACTCCTGGATCTACAGCCTCAGTCCTGGGTCTACAGCCTCAGTCCTGGGTCTACAGCCTCAGTCCCGGATCTACAGCCTCAGTCCTGGGTCTACAGCCTCAGTCCTGGGTCTACAGCCTCAGTCCTGGATCATGCAGTGTTGATAAAGCCTGTTCTGCTCCGTGTGGTCTAGATTCTGGTGATCTTCAGAAATCCCAAAGACACACCCGTCTCCTACTACCACTTCTGCAACAACAACCCAGTGCTGCCCTCCGCCCAGTCCTGGGACTCCTTCTTCGACAGCTTCATGACCGGAGAAGGTAAAGACCAATGTTATAAAGTTATGGCGGAGAGCTGGACTCGTTGTCATGTGCTCACAACTTGTTTTTCATATGGAACAAAGTAAACAAATGCGAAAAAATGTTTATGTATTTAATGAACCAAAGTGTTTACAGCCGAGAAAGAGAGATGTTATCTTTGTGTAAAATTAGCTGATATATCTTTGACTATATTTGTTTTAGTCTTTCCCAGAATGCAATGCACTTGGAGGAAATGATTATTATGTGAAACATGAATATTATCATTTCACTGTCTTTAGATTTTGATTCTTGCTTGGGTTGAACCAAAGCAGAACTAAAGCTTAAGAAGGCTCAATATTGTGGATAGATAAATGTTTAAATGAATTATAATGAGGTAGAACGTGCCATGAAGTCCTCATGCAAACCTTTTACAGTTTACAGACGGTGAAAAGGTTCAAGGGCCATGTAGAAAGTGAATCATGCAGTGTGTGGTCGTATGTGAGGAAATGAGAATCAGAACCATCCCCGCTCCTATCTGTCTGAACGCTCTTTTATCAAACTCTGTGAGCGTTGACAAATCCTCAGACTACGACGTGCAGAAAAGTAGGGAATGTCTTTCATAGCCTGAGCCTGAATCTAAATGATCTACTTACGGATATATTTCCCATTCTAAATCACAAAATAACGTAAAACAATCTCAAAATCAGCACAACAACAAAGACATAGGAAATGCTAATGAGCAGTGGAACCTTGTTTACATATTCCACTAATGATGGGATCAAATCAATCCTGTTCAGTATCAGTTCAGTAGATTTTATGCTCGTGCTTTTAAGTCTATACAGAAGATCAAAGTATTGCTGGTCATTTACATTTATGTATTCCATCCACAAGGTGGCGCTTGTTGCGGTGCTTTGTTTTTGTGCATTAATTCAACAGGAAGTTCAGATGGAAATGGCTTCAACACGACCCTCAGCCGCCCTCCTCAGAGTCACAGCTTCAGGTCATGTGCTCACGAGGGATGCATCAATTCCACTTTTTGGGAATTCATAAAACTAATACAAGTGAAATTCTAAATGTTTTATTTCTCATTTCAACATTTCCACTCATGCAGATGGTACTTAGAGTCAGTCAGGTTACTCTGCAGAGCTGTGTTTAATCAAACCGTTTGTTTTACTCTTGCCACTCTTTTTAAAAACTGCCATTCGTCCGACAACCTGTCCGCTTAATGCTAAGCTAGCGATACCCAATACCAGTGTCGGTCATCCCTGTGCTAACCATAATAAATGTGCCTTTTGAGGTAAGTCTTACGCCTTGGGATAATGTGGGGGACAGAATAATATTTCAATACTTGCCGTTTCGCAATATGTTAAGCATCGCAATAATCTTGAATTGTTACATTTCTGCCAATTCCCACCTCTATATTCTATATTTCTAAAGTGACTTGGGACAGAGATGTTTTTCTGTGTCGGGAACATAATCATGATGTTGTAGGACTGTCTGGGCTGACACGTCTCTGCAACATCGCGTGGCGATCGGGGGCGGTGCCTATGGAGTGGCAGACCGGGGTGGTGGTCCCTCTCTACAAGAAGGGGGACCGGAGGGTGTGTTCCAATTATCGTGGGATCACACTCCTCAGCCTCCCCGGTAAGGTCTACTCCAAGGTACTGGAGAGGAGGCTACGGCCGATGGTCGAATCTCGGATCCAGGAGGAGCAGTGTGGTTTTCGTCCCGGTCGCGGAACACTGGACCAGCTCTATACTCTCCATCGGATACTCGAGGGTTCATGGGAGTTCGCCCAACCTGTCCACATGTGCTTTGTGGATTTGGAGAAGGCGTTCGACCGTGTTCCCCGGGGTGTCCCTTAGAGGGTTCTCTGGGAGTACGGGGTCCGGGGTCCTCTGCTGAGGGCCGTCCAGTCCCTGTATGACCGGAGTCAGAGCTGCGTTCGGATCAGCAGTAAGTCAGACACGAGTGAGGGAAGGATGGAGCGTGAGATTGACAGGCGGATCGGTGCAGCGTGCGCAGTGATGCGGTCGCTGTATTGGACCGTTGTGGTGAAGAGGGAGCAGCGTCTGCAGTCAGAGCTGTATCGGACCGTTGTGGTAAAGAGGGAGCAGCGTCTGCAGTCAGAGCTGTATCGGACCGTTGTGGTAAAGAGGGAGCAGCGTCTGCAGTCAGAGCTGTATCGGACCGTTGTGGTAAAGAGGGAGCTGAGCCGAAAGGCAGAGCTCTCGATTTACCGGTCAATCTTCGTTCCCTCCCTCACCTATGGTCATGAGCTTTGGGTAATGACCGAAAGAACGAGATCGCGGATACAAGCGGCGGTCGAAATGAGCTTCCTCCGCAGAGTGGCTGCTCCCTTAGAGATAGGGTGAGGAGCTCAGTCACACGGGAGGAGCTCGGAGTAGAGCCGCTGCTCCCTTAGAGATAGGGTGAGGAGATCAGTCACACGGGAGGAGCTCGGAGTAGAGCCGCTGCTTCTCCACGTCGAGAGGAACCAGTTGAGGTGGCTTGGGCATCTGTTCCGGATGCCTCTTGGACGCCTCCCTGGGGAGGTGTTCCGGGCACGTCCCACCGGAGAGGAGGCCCCCGGGGACACGCTGGAGGGGTCGGACGAGCTGGAGGAAGTGTGTGTGTGTCTCTGCTTAGACTGCTGCCCCGCGACCCGGCAACGGATGAAGCGGAAGAAATTGGATGGATGGAACATAACTCAGTTTGATATAAAACTTGTTTATACCTATTTTCTTCAACTAGCTCGACTCTCTCAGGTACAACCTTAAAGCAATAAGACGGTTATTCTTTTTCCTTTAATCACAATAATCTGTCAGACCTTTGTCGCCTCTCGGCATCTACAGCCCTCTGTAAAACCCTGGAACAGCCTTGAGTCTTGAGACGACTCACATGATTGATACGTCCAGCCAACGACACATGTTCTTGATACCGTTCAGTAAGTCCACAGCTGTAGAGGCCACAGCTGTAGAGGCCACAGCTGTAGAGGCCACAGCTGTAGAGGCCACAGCTGTAGAGGCCACAGCACGCTCTTCCTGCGGACACGTGTAGCTGTGAAAACCCGGGAGTGGCTTCTACATGTGGCGGTGCAGGCGGCTCGTAAATCCCAATGGGGTCAAAAATACGAGCTCGTAAAGACTTCATGGTTCCCGCAGAGAGAATGAGAAAAGCTCGAGACAAAACATAAGCGCTCTGGGAAACCTGCTCCATAGAGCCCTTCAAGGTGTTAGCTTATCGTCAGGATCATGTACATGTGTTTAGGAAGCTTGTTACTGTAATTACTTCTATTGTCAAAATAGAAATGCTGGAACTACTCACAATCTTGGATCAGAGTTGATGCTGCGCAATGAGTTTCTCTGGGACTGCATCAACTCTATAGGTCTACTAGATTTATACTAGCTTCTTTATTATGCTAAAGCTAGAGCTGTTATACTAGCTTCTTTATTATGCTAAAGCTAGAGATGTTATACTAGCTTCTTTATTATGCTAAAGCTAGAGATTTTATACTAGCTTCTTTATTATGCTAAAGCTAGAGCTGTTATACTAGCTTCTTTATTATGCTAAAGCTAGAGATTTTATACTAGCTTCTTTATTATGCTAAAGCTAGAGGTTTCATACTAGCTTCTTTATTATGCTAAAGCTAGAGATGTTATACTAGCTTCTTTATTATGCTAAAGCTAGAGATTTTATACTAGCTTCTTTATTATGCTAAAGCTAGAGGTTTTATACTCGCTTCTTTATTATGCTAAAGCTAGAGATTTAATTAATTCAATTAATTAGTGCTCTCCAAAATACTGTATCTCTTTTTTGTTTGATTTTTGCACGACCAATTTGTGAAGTGTTGTAGTTTTTTGTAGCTGTGGCCAGTGTTAGTCGCATTAGAAAAACTAGAAACAAGAAATGGAACCCCCGGTATTAAAATTATATTTCGAGAACATCAAGAAAAGATACTAATTCGCGATTAATCGTGAGTTAACAATGACATTTATGCATTTAATCATGATTTAATAAAATAATTGTTGGACAGCACTAATCTAAGTGCGGCAGAGAAGACAGAAAGTAGATATAGATTTATTTTTCACGTGTGTTTTTCAGTCCTACTGTTCTGTAACTGGTGATGCAACACTGACATTTCCTGCTGTGGGATCAATGAAGGATCGTAATCTTAATATTGTAGGATTATTTAGGATTATTTAGGATTATTTAGTCGACACAGTATTAGTTTCAATCTTGTTAGTCTGTGACTTCCTGTTACCTACATGGCAATAAAACGTATGGTTCTGGTTCTGATAGTTTAAATAGACCGGACCTTTTCTAACCCAAAGTTGTGTGTTGTACAGTTCCATGGGGCTCTTACTTCGATCACGCTTTGGGCTGGGAGAAGAAGATGGACGACCCCAACGTGATGATCGTCACCTACGAGGACCTGAAAGAGGTCGGTCTGAGGCTGCAGTCCGACTCTGAACGCTCACACTGACTTGATTTCCTCTGCTCTAGAACCTGAGCCAAGGCGTGCGGCAGATCTCGTCCTTCTTCGGCTTCTCTCTGAGCGAGGCCCGGGTGGAGCAGATCTCACAGGGCAGCACTTTCAACGCCATGAAGGAGAAGTCGCACAACTCTCACGGAAACATGGGCAACGTCATCTTCAGGAAAGGTCTGCGTTCTGTCTTCACACACATTCCAAAGGAACATGCTGAACGTTTAGGGCTGAGGTAATGAGCAACTGCAAACGTGTGGAGGAGGTACTACAGAGAGAGGACTGGAGAGAGGTCTTTAAAGAGTATTTGTTGTGTAAGACTCTAGTTGATAGATACTTTATTGAAAATAAAAAGAATTAACTGATCATTCTAAAAAGCTAACAATAGTAATGATAACAACAGTCCTTCAGGTCACAGCAGCAGAGGTGGAGCTTGTTCAGACCATTTTCTCTGCTCTGGTCTGGACCAGAGTAAAACCATGAATCCTCTCTGCTCTGGTCTGGACCAGAGTAAAACCATGAATCCTCTCTGCTCTGGTCTGGACCAGTGTAATGCCGTGTTCAGACCGATCGCGATGGAGGAGTCAGGGGCGAGTGATTTACATGTTATGTCTATGGCCGGGTGCGCTCAGGAGCGAATGACAGGCCGGCGGTGCGAATGACGAGAGTAGAGCGAGGCGAACAGGGCGTTTTGAACGAAAAGAGCGGAACGAAAGTGGCGAAAGGGGCGTTTGACGCGCGCCTAGAGCCATTTCGCCTCCACCGCCCTACTCGCTCGAGTTGAAAAATCTGAACTTTTTGGTCAATTCGCGGGGCGTTGACCAATCAGGGACTGAATCGAGCAGTGACGTAGCATTGAACAACATTTAGTTATCTAACCTAATGGACTATTAATTATCTAACCCCCACCTGAAACGAGCTTATCGTGTCTAGTTTGGCATAACTAACTGATTAGTTTGGCATAAATCTAAAAGCTAAACAGTGGCACAATGGCTTTACATGTAAAGTACTTGGATTATAACATTTGGAATCTTATTTATTGAGAACCGCTTGATTTACTAACCGAAGACAGATGGACAGGCGCTCTGCAGGGGAGATAGAGCGCCTGTAGTTGGTCTCCCGGACGGTGATCCGAGCCCCAACGCGGGACAGCAGGTCCTCAAACTGGGTCCTGGACACACGGAAATACCGCTGGAATCGACCGTCATCCAGGCGCAGCTCCTGGAGCAGATGGTGGTACTCCCCATATTGGGAGCGTCTCTGGAGGATATCGTGGACCCAGAGACGGCGTCGCTGCCGCCGCTGTTCGGCTTTCCACATTAAATAAAGTATAGTGACTCGTTCCAGAAAATCAAAGCCCGCCATGCTGAGTTGAACAACAACCGGAACCGGCAACTGGCCATAAGCTCCTCCTATTGGATGACGCGGCGAGGCGAAATCTCGACGAAAATCCGCAGGCGAACAGAGCGAGTAATCGCCGCGATAGAAGCGAGTGTCATCAAATATTCAAGCGAAAAACGCCTGGCGTTTGATGCGATTTTTTCGCCTCCATCGCGATCGGTCTGAACACGGCATAAAACCATGAACGCTGAACTGCAGCAGAATCTCAGGCAGAAAAAAAGAAATAAAAATATAAATTATAAAACACAACTGTTCCAGAGACACTTTGGACTCACAGCCTTTTCCAGAACATTCTACAGTAAACAGAGTCTGCAGACTGTATCAGGGACTACTTTTTCCCCAAAGCATTGATCAAATTATAAATCAGACTGTACAGAGATAATTTATACAAACACATAAACAAACACAGGCCTTTGGGCCTGAAGGTCGTGGGTTCAAGCCCACCATGAGACCTTCTCGACCGACTGGTGACTGCTGTCGTTGTGTCCTTGGGCAAGACACTTAACCCCACTTTGCCTGAAGCTCCTGCTGAAAGACCAAGGCTCCTGTGGACTCAGCACCTGCAGGAGGATCAGTGAGGGGCTGGTGCTAATTGGACTGGGTGCAGCTCTGACTGCCACCCCCGACCCAGAAATGGATTAAGGGGAAAAAAATCGATGGATGTATCAAGCACTTTGAGTTGCCTTGTGTATAACTGTGCTTTACAAATGCACTTGTCTTGCCTTTTCTTTGCTTTTTTCTCACTGTAAATGTTACTGCTGTGTTCATTATTATTATTATGTGTGTATTTGACAGGGTCAGAACAAGAAGCATTGCTACAGGAACCATGTGTGTTCATGGTGTCGCTAACAGCTCATTTACAGACATGGTCCTAAGACACAGACATCACATTCACACTATACATTTATCATAATTCATTATTATTACTCTGATCCAGAGCAGAGCACAGTCAGAACCAGCAGATCAAGCAGAAACCCACAGGACGAATGCTAACTTAACACAGGACGAATGCTAACTTTGGTTTTAAAAATGAAAGCATTCTGAATTTCACTCTGAACCAAAGTAAAGTGAATGGTCCAAACCAAGCAGACTCTGCAAACATCACCCAGAGGAAGGACCACCTGCTGCTGTGACCGCAACTGCTGATGCTCTTTATACACAAGCACTTTCTACATCCGGGTGGATCGTCAAGACTATTGGTCCTGCCAACTGTCAATCATTCTGGTGATACGTGCTCGTCCAATAAGACCAGAGAGGGTTAGGGTTAGTTGTAGAGCATTGGCATTTAAGCCTGAAGGTCATGGGTTCGAGCCCGCCACAAGACTCTACCGACACCCACTGATGTCTGCTGTCGTTGTGTCCTTGGGCAAGACACTTAACCTCTGGGAACAGCAGGTGCCACAGTGGGGCGGCTGTGGCTGTAAAGTGCCAAACTGTGGTTGTGTCCTTAGGCAAGACACTTCCCCCACATTAGAATGAGTCTGGTGTGTGTGTGAATGGTTGGTGGTGGTGGGAGGGGCCTCGCTTCTGTCAGTGTGCCCCAGGGCAGCTGTGGCTACAGTTGTAGTTTATCACCAATGTGTTTGTAGTGAATGAATAATTATGTGAAGAGACTTTGAGTTTCCAAAAAGGCGCTTTATAATTATTATTGTTCAATAATCGGAGAGGAGCATTATTATATCTGATCATAGCCCTGTGTCCCTCTCAATAAAGATCCTGGAGTCAGGACCTACTTACAGAACCTGGAGACTGGACCCACAGCTTCTCACCAAAAGCAAATTCTGTAATTACGTTAAGGATCATATCAAATTGTTTTTTGAGACGAATGACAAAGACGGTATATCCCCTCTCCTTTTATGGGAAACCTTTAAAGCTTATATAAGAGGATGCATCATTTCGTTTCAATCCTCAGAGAAAAGACAAAATAGACTAAGACAATTGGAGTTGGAAGAGGAGATACAAAAGTTAGATTCTGAGAATGCAAGACAGCCATCTGTACAACTACTAGGGCTGGGCGATATGGCTGAAAACTATATCACGATATAAGTCATTCATATCGGTCGATAACGATATATATTGAGTTTTTTTTTTTAACCTAAATAAATATATTTGTGGTGTGGGCTAACCAACCTTAGCAGCCTTGTTTACAGTCACGGGGCGATGAGGCTGGAGGAATATGTTCACACTGTGTCCCTCGTTGTTAGTCCTGGTTTAATCCTGGTTTTTTATTCCTGGTTTAGCTCCTGGTTTACCTGTTTGAGGGTCTTGTGTCCCCGTGACTGCTCCGTGCGGCTCTCTGTGCCGCACATGCTTCCCGAGGAAAAAGTTAATCTCTTGCTTTCGCCGAATACATGGTGTCTGTCCACTGCCTCTGCCGCCGCACATGTTATTCTGCACAACCATTGACACGGCATTGAAACACGAGCTATAGATCCATGGACGCCACGCATGCTGCGGTTGTTGTTGTTTTTGCATTTCCCAGAAAGTTTTTCGGTTCCTGCTCGGCTGTTATTGGTCGAGAAGCCTCTGCCTACATCCCCTACAATGCCATGCGCTTATGAGTCGGCTTTACTTCCGGTGTTTTCTTCCTGTTTTTCCTGACGGAGTTAGGTTAAACTATCGAACATTCTATCGACCCCATTCTCTATTGATATCGAACACATGTCTATCGTGATATATATCGTTATCGTTTTATCGCCCAGCCCTAACAACTACATAGTAAAATTTCAGCATTAAAATATAAACTTAATACACTTCTATCTGAAAAGCTATCTAGAGCCTTTATGTATGTTAAAGGTGTATAGGAGGAATTTTGACAAAGAACCGCCCTCTCCACTTTTTGAACAAAACTCTCTAATCTTATTTGAAGAGCACGTATCTCCAGAATGATTGACAATTGGGAGGACTAATCGTCTTGACGATCCACCCGGAAGTAGAAAATCCTCCTATATACCTTTAAACAAACATATTTTGAATTTGGGGACAAACCCCATAAATTACTAGCCAGGCAGTTAAGAAAAAGAGAAAGCGACAGGTCGATTCACACAATCAAGTCAAACTCAGGATTGCTAACAAGTTCCCATAAAGAAATCAACGATGCTTTTAGACAATTTTATGAGGAGCTGTATACCTCTCATTGTACTGCCTCTGGTGACACTCTACAGACATTTTTAGATCAGTGTAAATTACCAACTCTCTCAGAGAAAGACGCTGCATCACTAGATGCAGAGCTTACAAATCTAGAGCTGCTTAATACTATTGGTTCATTGAAGAAGGGAAAGAGTCCAGGGCCGGATGGGTTGTGCAATGAGTTTTATAAAGTTTTTGGCAACTTATTAACCCCCTTTTTATTGAAAATGTACAATAGATCCTTAGAGGAAGGTTCTTTACCAGAAACTTTGAATGAAGCTACTGTAACCCTTATTTCAAAAAAAGGGAAAGACTTGGAACAGCTTGGCTCTTATAGACCCATCTCTCTATTAAAGGGCCCATATCACGGTTTTTGACTTTTCTCTGCTTTAAACATGATTACAGTGCTATTTGGCCTTCATACACAAGCCCACAGTAGTTTATTCATTGATTCTGTCAATCTTTTGTAAGAGAACAATCTGTCTCCTTCCCCAGCGTGAGGCACAGAAACGCTCGGGTCCACTTCAGTGACGAAAACCACACTGATGACGCGCATGACCCCGTTTGCTTTGTATTTAAAATAGTTGTTAAATACTTTTGTCAAAACGGGGTAAACAATACACAATTAGTATGCTGTTTTTTGTCAAAAATAATAAAAATAAAAATAAATTAAAAGCCGGCGGGAGGTGATTGACGGATCAAAACAGCGAATCAGAGCGCACAGGCTCCGGCTCCCGAGTCCAGCGTCTGTGGTCTGGTCTCGCGGACACCACATAGAGCTGCTGTTTTTATGCTTTTGTCAGCAACTAAAAGTGTTAGGATCACGTCAACTTGAATGAAGTGTGTTATGGGTGTAAATATGTGACACACTATTTGGCCCTAAGAGGAAGAAAGCGGCTCGACTTTTTTCATCTGTTCATCTCATGGATCTATTATAAACCGGTTCATCTGCGACACTTCACTGAGACTGTTCCAGAACTACAGGGACAATGGAACTGGACTTACTCAAAGGCTGATCTGGAAACACGTTATTCCCACGGTAAAAGACGTAACTCGGACCCCCTCGATCTGTAAGTAGTGACGCTAACTCGCTGTATACTTCTGTAAACTAAATAACTAGGGTCTGATTGTGCATCGAGGACATAGGGCTCGATGTGACGGATTGTCATTGTTGGAAAAAGTTTATTCTTATGTATGAAATTACTAAGTACAGGTGATAAACGACAAAAGCGTGATGCTACGTCACCGTGCGGGCGGGGGGGCTCACAGGCAGAGGAGCAGACTCTGGATCAGCTCGTTTGAGTCGAGGTGACGTCACCTCTATACAAGAGATGGCTCTAATCTCACAAGCTTTGATTGTTGTGTGGTGTATCATACACATTAATATCACACATGTGTATAGGATTGAGTGTGAAACATGAAGAAAAGCGTGATATAGGACCTTTAAATTCTGATCAGAAAATTCTTGCCAAGTCCTTAGCCAACAGACTTTGTGCTCATATAATTAAACTAGTACACCCAGATCAAACTGGCTTTATACCAACCAGACAATCATCTCACAATTTCAGACGTCTTTACAATGTAATGTACTCAAAAAAAGAGGCGGAAGAAGACCTTTTCTTAGTCAGTCTAGACGCAGAGAAGGCTTTTGACTGTGTTGAATGGTCTTATCTATTTGCAGTGTTAGGGAAATTTGGAATCGGTGCAAAATTTACTCAATGGATACAGCTATTATACTCTAATCCTTCGGCCAGGATTCTCACAAACAGGACTCTCTCACAACCTTTCAAACTCTCTCGCGGTACCAGACAGGGCTGCGCACTGAGTCCACTCCTGTTTGCACTTGCCATTGAGCCACTAGCTGAAACAATAAGAGGTAATACAAGTATACATGGTTACAACACTAAATATAGCTATAATAAGATCTCCTTGTATGCGGACGACGTGTTGCTGTTTATAACCAAACCGCAGCAATCTATCCCCAAATTATTAGAAACTATAGATCTTTTTAGCTCCTTTTCAGGATATAGAAAAAACTGGAGCAAAAGCGAATTGATGCCTGTTAAATGTGGTGATCTTGATTCACTTAAACAGATGCCTTTCAAAATTGCTTTTGAAAAAATTACATACCTGGGAATAGAGGTCACTAAAATCTATAAATCTTTATACGATGCTAATTTTGTCAAGATCTTAGAAGCCTTCCGCAATAAGATTGAATTCTGGAGGTCACTTCCGCTCTCTCTAATTGGTCGAGTAAATGCAATTAAAATGGTTTGTCTCCCCCAACTTCTATACTTGTTTCAAAATGTACCCATATATCTCACGGCCTCCTTTTTTCGAAAATTGGATTCAGTTTTCCTGCCATTTATCTGGGCTTTTAAGAACCATAGAATTAAAAAGAATCACATTTGTAAGCAGAAAATTGAAGGTGGCTTAGCCTTGCCAGATTTTAAATTATACTACTTTTCAATTTATATACAGCATGTTGCATACTGGCTGGACAACGCTGCCATTATAGGGAGTTGGCTTGATATAGAACGTGAAGAATGTCTGCCTTACGCCATTGGTGCAATAGCATTGTCCCCCATTCGTCTCAAAGAATCATATTACAACTTCAACCCAATCATCCACAACACCATCCGGATTTGGAGGCGGATAAAAAAGGAATTTGAACTTGGGGCCTTGTCCTTTGTCTCTCCCATTGCATCAAATCCATCGTTCCCACCCTCAGTTATGGATGGGGCATTTGATCGTTGGAAGGAAATGGGTTTACAAAATGTTGGTGACCTGTATTATCACGGTTGTTTTGCTTCATTTCAACAGCTTCAAGTTAAATACAAATTAATTGCTAGTGATTTTTTCAGATTCCTGCAAATAAGAAACTATGTGAGATCCCATGTTCCTTCCTTTGAACAAATGGCCCCAGATAAATTAGACGAGTGCTTGGCCACTTGTAATACGGAAAGTCATGTGATTTCATTTATATACAACATTCTGCAGGCACTCAAACGGGTAGATATGACAAATATTAAAACGGCATGGGAAAAGGAACTCGGAACTGTAATACACAAAGACATTTGGACTAAAGGATTGAAATATGTTCATTTGTGTTCCATAAATACACGACACTCTTTAATTCAGTTTAAAGTACTGCATAGACTGCACTACTCAAAGGCAAGGTTACATAATTTTTTTCCGGATGTTTCACCTATTTGTGATAAATGTGAGGTTGAGGAGGCAAACTTGTTGCATAGTTTTGTAATGTGTCCAAAGTTACAGAACTTTTGGTTGTCTTTATTTTCTTTTTTTTCAAAGGTTTTAAATGTACAATTAAAAGTGGATCCTATTTTGATCATTATGGGAGTTTCGGAACAGAGCAGCATACTGAAAACATGTCAAGCCCAACTTCTCTCGTATGGAGTTATGTGCGCCAAGAGACTTAGCCTACTTTTGTGGAAGGGGAAAGATGTCCCTTCAGTTTCAGCATGGATATCCTCATTGACAGAGACTCTTCATCTCGAAAGGATTCGTCATATGCAAAATGACAAACTGCACGATTTTGAAAGGATTTGGAAACCATTTTGGTCATATTTGCAAAGAATGGACTGATTCACCTGAAAGTAATGTAGCACCCGGGAGGGAGGGAGGGGAGGGAGGTGTGGGTATTAGTGTTATTATTTGTGTGTGTGTAAAAAAAAAAAAAAAAAAAAGCTTATCTGTATCTTGTTCATGCCATGTTCTGAACTGCTGAATAAACATATTTGAAACAATAATCGGAGAGGGCGGTTCTTTCCTTAAATTTAGTGAAATCCTCCGTTTACACTTTTGACTTTTACAATGAAGTATGTATTTGTTTATGTGGATGTCTTTCTGAAAAAACTCCACATCTTTTGTCCCATGTTTGACGGTAGATTGTCCTGATGCCCTTTGACCTCTGTCCAGGTGAGGTTGGAGACTGGAAGAACCACTTCTCCCCGGAGCAGAGCCAGCAGATGGACGAGGCCTTCAAGCAGCACCTGGAGGGAACTCGCATCGGAGCTCTGCTAAAGTACCAGCAGCACTGCCAGTAGGACCATGAGCCAGGACCATGGGAACGAAGCGACTGACGATGAACCCGACATTCACAGATCACCCTTCCATGTGGCTCAGCAGTTCACAAAACACTCTGTGGAGAATCAGGCCGAGTCCCGGGAGGCTTCGGCTCTGGGTTCTCAGGTTTACAGTCCGGTCTAATCTACAGTCTGGCTTTGTTCCACTCTCTGTCCTTATGGCCATTTACTGTTTGGTTCATGCGCAATGCTGCCCTCTAGTGGCCAAACAATGACACTTGGAACTGAAAGCGTCTCAACACATGCGTGGTTAACGGGTATTCACTTTCACTTTCTGTTCAGACACGTTTTCACCAATACTTGGCAGCTATTCTCACTGATGTCTGAACGTGACACTACAATAAAGGTTTTACACTTTCAGTCCCTGTTGTTTATCACACACACGCTTCAGGTACAGACGGAAACATACAACTAACATTTTTGTGCACTAGAATAAACAGTATTTTTGTGTTTCTTTATCATGCTAAAGTTTAGAGATGTTATATATATTTTAGCAGAGATCACTCCTTGAAGAAAGCAATGCTAATTTCTCTATTTTTGATTTTCTAGGAGCACCAACAACGTTAACAATTTGCTTTCATGATTTTTTTTCAACCCTTATTCCTTGTTTTTTGAGGCCAAATGGTTGAGGTTCTGCCTGATGGTAAAAGTTCCTAAAACCAAGCAATAGCAATGCCCCAATGAGGTAGATTTCAGTTCCAAGCTTCAAGTAGATCCACCAAAGGACTGAGGGAACTATTAAAGGGCTAATCTTAATCACAATTTACATCCTCTTCAGAGCTAGTTTCTTTTAAAACAAAAGTGTGGCCATTTCTGAGGTGAACTTACGATCTTTACGACTGTCTTTGCTGCAGGTAATGTTTAATGTTGGAAAAATATACATGTTATTGCTCCTTCAGATGGTTCAGAAGAATTATAATAAGAACACAGGGGACGAGATTAAAAACACTGAAGAATAGATTTTCTTAAATGATCTCCTTAAAGGTACACAGGAGGATTTTCCCAAAGTTCAGGAAAGAACCGCCCTCTTCACAAAACTCTCTGGTCTTATTGGACGAGCACGTGTTACCAGAATGATACAACTACAATACATAGTTAGGACCAATAGTCTTGATGATCCACCCGGAACATCCTCCTGTAAATCTTTAAGACATTATTTCACTTTCTGAAACATGACCTGTTCCAATAGATTTGAGTTAAATGTTACTTATTTGATCCACTGGTGCAAACCGTCTCCATGGGGAAAAACATCTGAATCACTTTGAAATGTATTTTATTGTGTCTGGTTTTATGGCCGACTTTCTCTTTCTGTGTTGAACATTTGCACTTATTTGTGTGACACTAGTGCACACAAAGAATCATAATGAACAATATGATGAGGCTTTTCAGGATGTTTATTAACTTGAAAGGACATTTCTTTAACTTTTTTGAGATATACATTCCCCCAATACATTTTAGAAAGAGGCGTGTGAGAGATAGCTTCACTAATCATAAACATTGTCAGAGAAGAAGTCTGTCTCACATTTTCAGGAAGACTGTTCCAGATTATAGCATGAATCTGAAACACTGCCTCCTCATGTTTAGTTCTGACACTGGGACCAGCAGGAGGCCAGTCTCTGTGCTCCTCAGAGTCCCAGCAGGAGGCCAGTCTCTGTGCTCCTCAGAGTCCCAGCAGGAGGCCAGTCCCTGTGCTCCTCAGAGTCCCAGCAGGAGGCCAGTCCCTGTGCTCCTCAGAGTCCCAGCAGAGGCCAGTCTCTGTGCTCCTCAGAGTCCCAGCAGGAGGCCAGTCCCTGTGCTCCTCAGAGTCCCAGCAGGAGGCCAGTCCCTGTGCTCCTCAGAGTCCCAGCAGGAGGCCAGTCCCTGTGCTCCTCAGAGTCCCAGCAGGAGGCCAGTCCCTGTGCTCCTCAGAGTCCCAGCAGGAGGCCAGTCCCTGTGCTCCTCAGAGTCCCAGCAGGAGGCCAGTCCCAGTTCCACACCGGAAGTCTGTTGTCACGCCCCTGCCTTTATTTTGAAAAGCAGCGGAAACGCCTCCCGTCGCTAACAGCGCGAGCTTAGCCCTGGTCCTGCACGCGCTGAGGCTGAGCTGAATGAATGACATCATGCGTACTGCTGCTGCTCACTCCGTCACATCCATCACCACAGCCCGTGCGTGAGCCCAGCCTCCAGCCCCCAGTGCGTGTGCGTGTCTCCGGCCTCCAGCTGCGACATGACGCCCGAGCACGGTGAGTCTGCCCCGGCCGACCCCCCCCACCCCCCCGACACTGGCCGCTAGCTCCGCACATGACATTAAAGGTGATGCTAGCGGTAATTAGCCCGAGTGCAGGTGCAGCTAACCCGGGAGGGACTGGGCCAAGGCGGACCTGTTACGCGCTTGTCTGTTTGCAGGAGGAAAAACCATAAATATGCATTGATTTGACGTGAAAGACATGTTCTCTTTGTGTTCCTGCGTGTCTTTGATCATTGCATGGTTTTTTATGTAACAGGCTGAAAGAAAGAGGCTTCTGTTACTACGGGATGACTACAATATATGTTCTTCATGGATCTATAGTTATAAGTATTCTTTTGTGGTAAACATGGTGGGCAGATGACAGCGATAGCCTGTAATGGAAGATGGAGCTCATTTATAAATGTGTTATGGTTTAATTGGAAAACCAGCAGTGGACTAATCCCCTCCTTTAGTGGTGAGGACCAGGATGTGATGCTTCCTGGTGGTTTCCAAAAGACATTATGAGGGGGTGTGTTTTACTATTATGACAGGTGTCTTAACCCTTTTCACCCAGAGAGCTACTTTCCCTGGACGATAAAGGCAGAGAGCTACTCCTTTAAGCAGAGGAGATATTGCACATTTGTTACTAGTGACAAAGTGAATCTGAAATCTGAAATAGTTAGTATATAATTAGATGAATGAATGAATGAATGAGCTACCTGGAAGGGTGTAGAGCAGCCATTCCCAAACTCAGTAACACCGAGGCCCCCTTAAAAATCTGACGGGTCTGCGTGGCCCCCCAAAATAATAACCAAGAAGACAACATTAAGAATAGGCTCTTCTGGTTATTTTATTTTGGGGAAATAGCCTCTGCTACAAACATTGTAATAAAAAAATGATTACAGTGGATTATTCAAGTCAAATAATGTACACAAATATTTTAATATTACAAACAAAACATTATAAATTTAACATTAAATAATTATATATTTTTTTTATTTTTTTATGACCTCCCGCGGCCCCCCTGCAGTACCCTCGCGGCCCACCAGGGGGCCGCGGACCCCACTTTGGGAGACACTGGTGTAGAGAGTTAAAATGCCCAAATAACACAGAATACATTAATTATATCTGTGCAAGAAACAAGACTAAAGCTGTTCCATTGTTTTAAGAATGTCAAAAGATTTTCAAACCAAGATATAAAACGACTTCATCCATGGTAGTTCAACAAGTTGTAGACTGTATAAATTGTAGTAGCTCTCTGCCAGTAGCTCTCCGAGGAAAAAGGTTGGAGACCCCTGCTCTATGATGCTGCTCTTGTCTGTTGTATTAGAATGATGTCCTGTCTGTAAAAGGTCCTGTGTCTCCAGTTGGGTCTCACTGTTCTGTACCACTGCTCCTGCTCCTGACGGCTCCTGACGGCTCCTGACTGCTCCTCCTGACTGCTCCTGACGGCTCCTGACTGCTCCTCCTGACTGTTCCTGACGGCTCCTGACGGCTCCTGACTGCTCCTCCTGACTGCTCCTGACGGCTCCTGACGGCTCCTGACTGCTCCTCCTGACTGCTCCTGACGGCTCCTGACTGCTCCTCCTGACTGTTCCTGACTGCTCCTGACGGCTCCTGACTGCTCCTGACGGCTCCTGACTGCTCCTGACTGCTCCTCCTGACTGCTCCTGACTGCTCCTGACTGCTCCTGACTGCTCCTGACTGCCCTCTAATGGAGCTTCGCGAAAGTTCACTGTGGTAGACCCGGCTGCTGCTGCCCAGGCCACAGGCTGCTCTTCCTCGACTCATCAATACCAGCAACGCCCACATCCAGTCAACCAATAACCACCAGGACAGCAAGTTAAAAGCCGGAGACGCCCACTTTCCGGCCTTCTGAAGTCTGCAAGCCTCCGCCGCCCCACCTCCTCCTTCTCTCATCGAAGCGCGCTTGCCTACTGCCTCTGCCGTCACCAGTACCTAGGCCCCGGGGGGATTATGCACGCGAGCAAGCGCCGTGCTCAACAGCATCCCTCCCGGGCCTAGGGCGCCAAACATGCTCAATCATAAACATGCTTAAATCTAATAAGTCTAACGGCATCTTCCTCATGGGTCTCTCCAAAGTGAAATGGTTTTTGCACAGCTTAGCTACCAGCGGTGGGAATGAGCACCGACAGTATTGAAATATTCCATCTTCTTCCACTTCATCCGTTGCCGGGTTGCGGGGGCAGCAGTCTAAGCAGAGACGCCCAGACTTCCCTATCCACACACACTTCCTCCGGCTCGTCCGGGGGGACCCCAAGGCGTTCCCAGGCCAGCTGAGAGACATAGTCCCTCCAGCGTGTCCTGGGTCTTCCCCGGGGCCTCCTCCCAGTGGGACGTGCCCGGAACACCTCCCCAGGGAGGCGTCCAAGAGGCATCCGGAACAGATGCCTGTTTGCCTTTCGGCTCAGCTCTCTCTTCACCACAACGGTCCGATACAGCTCTGACTGCAGACGCTGCTCCCTCTTCACCACAACGGTCTGATACAGCGACCGCATCACTGCGCACGCTGCACCGATCCATCTGTCAATCTCACGCTCCATCCTTCCCTCACTCGTGAACAAGACCCTGAGATACTTGGACTCCTCCACTTGAGGAAGGACTGCTCCACCTGGAGAGGGCAAGGCACCTTTTTCCGGAGTATTGAAATATTTGGGCCACAAGTTAATATTGTTCCGAGATAAGTATTGTGATTCGGCACGGTGGCTGAGTGGTTAGCACTCTCGCCTCTCAGCAAGAAGGTCCTGGGTTCGAATTCCGGTCGGAACGTGGTCTTTCTGAGTGGAGTTTGCATGTTCTCCCTGTGCTTGGGTAGGTTTCCTCCGGGTACTCCGGTTTCCCCTACCACTGAAAACATGTACACTAGGTTAAATCCTCCAGCTCTGGTCCTGACCAAGCCGAGCATCAACATCTGGAGACACATTTTTTTATTAATTTGAGCACAAATGTTACAATCTTAGGTATTTACATTCCTTAGTTTATATGACTTTTTATACATGCTGCCTTTTGGGCTTACAGTATATATGTATATGTATATGTGCAAATATAGAAACATAACTATACAATAATATTCTCCAACCTCAGACTGTTTCCTAAAATAGCTGCAGTTATTTTTAGGCCGAGGTGCTGTAAAAAGCCACACGTGTTGTCATCGTTGTTGTGCCCGCAGCTGTGTGGTGATGCAGCAGAAGTTGTGTTCCCGCGGCTCCTTGTTCCAGGACAGGACGAGCCCAGCAGCCCCTGAGCCCAGCGAGGAGCCGCCCTACAGCAGGCACTCCTACAGCAGGCACTCCTACAGCAGGCACTCCTACAGCAGGCACTCCTACTGCTCTCCTGATGTGTCCCTGAGCAACTTCAGTATCACGGGTACGCTGCCCGACCCCAGCACCGCCGCCATCTCCTGGTACGACATGAGCCTCCCCACGCGCAGGTACCAGCCACAGCTACAGACACAGCTACAGCCACAGCTACAGCCACAGCTACAGACACAGCTACAGACACAGCTACAGACACAGCTACATCCACAGTCACAGACACAGCTACATCCACAGCTACAGACACAGCTACAGACACAGCTACAGACACAGCTACATCCACAGTCACAGACACAGCTACAGACACAGCTACATCCACAGTCACAGACACAGCTACTGCTACAGACTAGGGATGTACCGATCCAGATTTTTTGTAATCTGATCCAATTCCGATATTCTTAAATATTGTTTTGCCGATACCAATCCGATACAAAAAATTCTAATATTTTTAAAGCTTTAAAGATTTTTCATTTTTACCTGAATAACAGCCCTGTTTACAGCCACGGGGAATGAGGCTCAAGGAATATGTTCACAAGCAGTCTGCCCCATAGTTAGTCCTGGTGTAATCCTGGTGTAGTCCTGGTTTATCTCCTGTTTTGTGTCCCCATGACGGCTCAGTGCGGCCGCTCTCTGATAGCTCTCTGATAGCTCTCTGATAGCCGCACGGAGGAAAAAGTTCATCTCTTGCTTTCGCCGCATGCCCCAGGTCTCTGTGTCCACTGCCGCTGCCACAGCGCACATGCTGAGCCTCGCACAGACGTGCAGAACCACTGACACGGCACTGAAAAACAATCTTAGATCCATGGACACTACGCATTGTGCGGTTGTTGTTTATGTATTTCCCAGAATGTTTCGCGGTTCACGCTTGGCTGTGATAGGTCGAGAAGCTTCTGCCTACATCCCCCAGAATGCCGCACGCCTCTGACTCGGCTTTACTTCCTGTGTTTTCGTCCTGTTTTTTCTAACGGAGTGATGTTAAACTAATATTCTATCGACCCTGATTCCTGTTGGTATCGAACACGTGTCTATCGCAATATCTCTCGTTGTCGTTTTCTCGCCCAGCCCTAGTTTTACATTGTGTTTAGTTTACAGCAGCCGTAAAGCGTGAGCTGCTGAAAAGTGACGTAAATCAGCTTCATATTTACCAAATCCGATATTATCCGATCCTTACAAAAAACCTATATTGGCCCCCGATACCGATGCTGAATATCGGATCGGTACATCCCTACTACAGACACAGCTACAGCCACAGTCATAGTCACAGACACAGACACAGTCACAGACACAGCCACAGTCACAGACACAGTCACAGAGCCAGTCAGTCAGAGCCAGTCAGAGCCAGTCAGAGTCAGTCAGAGTCAGTCAGTCAGTCAGAGTCAGTCAGTGTCAGTCAGAGTCAGTGTCAGTCAGAGTCAGTCAGTGTCAGTCAGAGTCAGTGTCAGTCAGAGTCAGTCAGAGTCAGTCAGAGTCAGTCAGAGTCAGTCAGTGTCAGTCAGTGTCAGTCAGAGTCAGTCAGAGTCAGTCAGTCAGTCAGAGTCAGTCAGTGTCAGTCAGTCAGTGTCAGTCAGTGTCAGTGAGAGTCAGTCAGTGTCAGTCAGTGTCAGTCAGAGTCAGTCAGTCAGAGTCAGTCAGAGTCAGTGTCAGTCAGTGTCAGTCAGTCAGTCAGAGTCAGTGGTCAGAGTCAGTGTCAGTCAGAGTCAGTGTCAGTCAGAGTCAGTCAGTCAGAGTCAGTCAGAGTCAGTCAGTCAGAGTCAGTCAGAGTCAGTGTCAGTCAGTGAGTGTCAGTCAGTGTCAGTTAGTCAGTCAGAGTCAGTGTCAGTCAGTCAGAGTCAGTCAGTCAGTCAGTGTCAGTCAGTCAGTGTCAGTCAGTCAGTCAGAGTCAGTGTCAGTCAGTCAGTGTCAGTCAGTGTCAGTGAGAGTCAGTCAGTGTCAGTCAGTGTCAGTCAGAGTCAGTCAGTCAGAGTCAGTCAGAGTCAGTGTCAGTCAGTGTCAGTCAGTCAGTCAGAGTCAGTGGTCAGAGTCAGTGTCAGTCAGAGTCAGTGTCAGTCAGAGTCAGTGTCAGTCAGAGTCAGTCAGAGTCAGTCAGTCAGAGTCAGTCAGAGTCAGTGTCAGTCAGTGAGTGTCAGTCAGTGTCAGTTAGTCAGTCAGAGTCAGTGTCAGTCAGTCAGAGTCAGTCAGTCAGTCAGTGTCAGTCAGTCAGTGTCAGTCAGTCAGTCAGAGTCAGTGTCAGTCAGTCAGTGTCAGTCAGTCAGTCAGAGTCAGTGTCAGTCAGTCAGAGTCAGTGTCAGTCAGTCAGTCAGAGTCAGTGTCAGTCAGAGTCAGTCAGTCAGTGTCAGTCAGAGTCAGTGTCAGTCTCAGAGTCAGAGACAAAGGCTATATCCACACGAAGACAAAACGCTTATAATTTCAGAAACTTTTTCTGTAAACACGGAGTTAGCTCAGTAAATGTGTGCGTCCATATGTAGTCAATACGCCTGAAAACGCTGTGAAACTATGCCAGACCTGTTGGTGGCGCTGTGACGCAATGACGGGATCAAGCCCAAACTTCCGTGACGGGAACTGGGCATGCGCAGAATTTAGTAAACAGACAACATGGCGAGTGGGCGAGCTGGTACTACATTAGTATGGACGGACGATGAGGTTGAACTGTTGCTTCGGGTCACACTGGATTACAAAACCAACAAGCTACATTGTTGTTGTCATTATTTTCTGAGTGCGGCGCATGCGTGCTTTAACAAGAGGCGGGGCGATGACGCAAGCGTCTCAGATACATTGCGGAGAGGCAGTAACCACGGAGCGGCATATACGGAGTTTTGAAATCTTTCCACTCTGGGACCTACTTTCAAAAATGTTCGTTTACACCCCCCCAAAACGCCGGCCTCGTATGGACGATACACTGGATTGATAAAGTATTTTTGCGTTTAGGCCTGAGCTTGACTTCGTGTGGACAGGGCCAAAGTCACCGACATTATCAGAGTACATGACACACACACACACACAGAGTACAGAGTACAGACAGTATCAGAGTACATAACACACACACAGTTGTGAGAGAGTTTTTCTGTATGTGTGCTGTCATGTGACATCACAGCCCTGACCTCAGTCCAGACATTTGTGGTCAGAGCTGAAGTGGGCAAGCCTCAAAGCCTGGAGTCTGATCTGGTCCTGGCTGTGGTCTAGAAGCACCTGTTTTTAGGTCAGTTATTTTTACTAATGGCTCAATGCCTCAGAAGTGAGTGGGACTCTTTCTGAATTATTAATATGTTTAAGTTTCATTTCAGACAGAGAGAAAAATGGTGTTTGTGAACTTATGTACTGTATGTGGGTCTTTCTGGCCCAGTTTGTTGTACCGTGTTCTGGCTTCTCTCCACAGGGGTCCTGCAGGCTGCACCGGGAGACCCCCCCACATACGCTCCCTCAGCGACAGCCGGGACAGCGGGTACCCACACTCCTACGCCTCCGTCAGGTAACACACACATGTACAATGCCGTCTGGTCTATAAGGCGCACCTGTATATAAGCCACAGGGTTTCATGTTTAAAGCTGCACTAACTGACCTTAAGAAACTTTCAAATCAGAACCATGAGCTCGCTCTCTCTGCTCTCTAACCCCACGGTCGCTTGAAGGTTTCTATTCTATTTTCTGCTGAATAAACAGAAATCAAGTAATATATAAAATGTTGCTTGTGTCAGACGGAGGACGCAGAGTGTGGGGGTGGGCACGCACACTGACCAGGAGGAGGAGGAGGAGGATGGTTCAGAGGAGGAGGAAGAGGAGGAGGAGGAGGAGAGAGGGGACATGCATAAGAAGTCTGCATCTGGACACCACCACAACCAGAGACACTTCCTCTACCCCGCACCCTCTCCCCTGGGCCCCCCGCCTGACCCGGACCCCGACCCGGACCAGGACCTGGACCAGGAGTTGGACCAGGAGCTGGAGCTGATGGGTGGGTACCTGAGCAGAGGAGAGGACTCCCAGGAAGCTGCATTAGCCTCTAGAGCCCAAAAACAATACATGTACAACTAATGTGACAATGTCTCTCCCTCTCTCCCCTCTCCTCTCCCCTCTCCTCTCCTCTCTCCTCTCCTCTCCTCTCTCCTCCCTCCTCTCTCCCCTCTCCGCTCACTCCTCTCTCCCCTCTCTCCTCTCTCCTCTCTTCTGTCTCCTGTCTCCTCCCCCCTCTTCTCTCTGCTCCCCCCTCTTCCCTCCACTCTCTCCTCTCTCTCCTCTCCCCTCTCCTCCCTCCTCTCTCCTCTCTCCCTCCCCCCTCTCAGACCAGAGCCCGTACTGTGGCCTGGAGACGGCGGCGACCTCGGCGGCGGTGCGCAGACGCCTGGCCCACTTCCTGCGTGCGGCGGACAGCAGCATGCAGCGGCGTTTGGCCAAAGTGAGCACAGAGTTGGCCCAGACCGACACGGAGCTGCTGTGTCAGAGAGCGCACTCCCAGCACCTGGCGCAGGAGCGGCGCGCCGTGGCCGAACGAGAGCGCTCTCTCAGCCGCCAGGTGGACGTGGCGGTCATGGTGATCGCCGCTCTGAGGGAGCAGCTCAACGCCTCCGAGAACGAGCTGGAGAGGAGAGAGAGGTACAGAGAGAGAGAGAGAGAGAGAGAGGTACAGAGAGAGAGAGAGGTACAGAGAGAGAGGGAGAGAGAGAGGTACAGAGAGAGAGAGAGAGAGAGAGGTACAGAGAGAGAGAGAGAGAGAGAGAGGTACAGAGAGAGAGAGGTACAGAGAGAGAGAGGTACAGAGAGAGAGGGAGAGAGAGAGGTACAGAGAGAGAGAGAGAGAGAGAGGTACAGAGAGAGAGAGGTACGAGAGAGAGGTACAGAGAGAGAGAGGGTAGTACAGAGAGAGAGAGAGAGAGAGAGAGAGAGAGAGAGAGAGTACAGAGAGAGAGAGAGAGGTACAGAGAGAGAGAGAGACAGAGAGAGAGAAGAGTACAGAGAGAGAGAGAGAGAGAGTACAGAGAGAGAGAGAGAGTACGGTACAGAGAGAGAGAGGAGAGAGAGAGAGTACAGAGAGAGAGAGAGAGGTACAGAGAGAGAGAGAAGGTACAGAGAGAGAGAGGACAGAGAGAGAGAGAGAGACAGAGAGAGAGAGAGAGAGAGGTACAGAGAGAGAGAGAGAGAGGTACAGAGAGAGAGAGAGAGAGGTACAGAGAGAGAGAGAGGTACAGAGAGAGAGAGAGGTACAGAGAGAGAGAGAGAGAGAGGTACAGAGAGAAGTACTGAGAGAGAGAGGTACAGCGAGAGAGGGAGAGAGAGAGAGAGAGAGTAGAGAGAGAGGTACAGAGAGAGAGAGAGTGAGTGAGTAGAGAGAAAGAGAGAGAGACAGATGGACAGACGAAAGACAGACTAATGCTACTGATGCTAACATACTAACTCTGGTGCATAATAACAGAGCCTTGTTTGCAGAGAGGCCATCACCATACAGAAGTTTCTGGAAGCAGCAGCGCGACAGGAAACTAGTGGAAAAGTCAGAATCCAGCACTTTATCGAGGGTCTGCTGAGCCGCATCGCTCTGGCAGAACATCTGCTGGAATATTACCATAGCAACGGCAGCCCACCGCAGTACCACCACTACAAGGTACTGATATATACTGAGGTACTGATATATACTGAGGTACTGATATATACTGAGGTGCTGATATATACTGAGGTACTGATATATACTGAGGTACTGATATATACTGAGGTACTGATATATACTGAGGTACTGATATATACTGAGGTGCTGATATATACTGAGGTACTGATATATACTGAGGTACTGATATATACTGAGGTACTGAGGTACTGATATATACTGAGGTACTGATATATACTGAGGTACTGATATATACTGAGGTACTGAGGTAATGATATATACTGAGGTACTGATATATACTGAGGTACTGAGGTACTGATATATACTGAGGTACTGATATATACTGAGGTACTGAGGTAATGATATATACTGAGGTACTGATATATACTGAGGTACTGAGGTACTGATATATACTGAGGTACTGATATATACTGAGGTACTGAGGTACTGATATATACTGAGGTACTGATATATACTGAGGTACTGATATATACTGAGGTACTGATATATACTGAGGTACTGAGGTAATGATATATACTGAGGTACTGATATATACTGAGGTACTGATATATACTGAGGTACTGATATATACTGAGGTACTGAGGTAATGATATATACTGAGGTACTGATATATACTGAGGTACTGATATATACTGAGGTACTGATATATACTGAGGTACTGAGGTAATGATATATACTGAGGTACTGATATATACTGAGGTACTGAGGTAATGATATATACTGAGGTACTGATATATACTGAGGTTCTGAGGTACTGATATATACTGAGGTACTGATATATACTGAGGCACTGAGGTAATGATATATACTGAGGTATATACTGAGGTACTGAGGTAATGATATATACTGAGGTACTGAGGTAATGATATATACTGAGGTAATGATATATACTGAGGTACTGAGGTAATGATATATAGTGAGGTACTGAGGTAATGATATATACTGAGGTACTGATATATACTGAGGTACCGATATATACTGAGGTACTGATATATACTGAGGTACTGAGGTAATGATATATACTGAGGTAATGATATATACTGAGGTACTGGTATATACTGAGGTACTGATATATACTGAGGTACTGCTGTACTGAGGTACTGATATACAGTATACTAAGGTACTGATATATACTTGGGTACTGATATATACTGAGGTACTGCTGTACTGAGGTACTGATATATACTGAGGTACTGATATATACTTGGGTACTGATATATACTAAGGTACTGCTGTACTGAGGTACTGATATATACTGAGGTACTGATATATACTGAGGTACTGATATATACTGAGGTTCTGATATATACTGAGGTTCTGATATATACTGAGGTACTGATATATACTGAGGTACTGATATATACTTGGGTACTGAGGTACTGGGGTGCTGAGGTACTGGGGAAGACAGGTATACAGGTGCACGGGTATACAGGTGCACCGGTGTACAGGTGTACAGGTGCACCGGTGTACAGGTGTACAGGTATACAGGTGCACCGGTGTACAGGTGCACGGGTATACAGGTGCACCGGTGTACAGGTGCACGGGTATACAGGTGCACAGGTGTACAGGTGCACCGATGTACAGGTGCACGGGTATACAGGTGCACAGGTATACAGGTGCACGGGTATACAGGTGCACAGGTATACAGGTGCACCGGTGTACAGGTGCACGAGTATACAGGTGCACAGGTATACAGGTGCACGGGTATACAGGTGCACAGGTATACAGGTGCACCGGTGTACAGGTGCACAGGTATACAGGTGCACAGGTATACAGGTGCTGCAGGTGTACAGGTGCACGGGTATACAGGTGCACAGGTATACAGGTGCTGCAGGTGTACAGGTGCACAGGTATACAGGTGCACCGGTATACAGGTGCTGCAGGTGAGATCACAGGTGATGGAGGTGACACTAATGTGCTCATGTCTTCAGCAGCACCAACCCGCCTCTGAGAACGGACCTCACAGAACCACCAAGAGCAGGTCAGTACAACTCTATAAAGAACATGTTCACTGTGATCAAGGCAAGTTCATACACACGCCAGATCAAAGGGCTGATCCCTGTGCTCCTCAGAGTCCCAGCAGGAGGCCGGTCCCTGTGCTCCTCAGAGTCCCAGCAGGAGGCCGGTCCCTGTGCTCCTCAGAGTCCCAGCAGGAGGCCGGTCCCTGTGCTCCTCAGAGTCCCAGCAGGAGGCCGGTCCCTGTGCTCCTCAGAGTCCCAGCAGGAGGCCGGTCCCTGTGCTCCTCAGAGTCCCAGCAGGAGGCCGGTCCCTGTGCTCCTCAGAGTCCCAGCAGGAGGCCAGTCCCTGTGCTCCTCAGAGTCCCAGCAGGAGGCCAGTCCCTGTGCTCCTCAGAGTCCCAGCAGGAGGCCAGTCCCTGTGCTCCTCAGAGTCCCAGCAGGAGGCCAGTCCCTGTGCTCCTCAGAGTCCCAGCAGGAGTCCAGTCCCTGTGCTCCTCAGAGTCCCAGCAGGAGGCCAGTCCCTGTGCTCCTCAGAGTCCCAGCAGGAGGCCGGTCCCTGTGCTCCTCAGAGTCCCAGCAGGAGGCCGGTCCCTGTGCTCCTCAGAGTCCCAGCAGGAGGCCGGTCCCTGTGCTCCTCAGAGTCCCAGCAGGAGGCCAGTCCCGTGCTCCTCAGAGTCCCAGCAGGAGGCCGGTCCCTGTGCTCCTCAGAGTCCCAGCAGGAGGCCGGTCCCTGTGCTCCTCAGAGTCCCAGCAGGAGGCCGGTCCCTGTGCTCCTCAGAGTCCCAGCAGGAGGCCGGTCCCTGTGCTCCTCAGAGTCCCAGCAGGAGGCTGGTTCATATGGCACTCACAATGTCTCAGACTTTGAAGCTGTTTTAAAGTCTATTCTCTGAGCCACAGGTGCAGAGACCTGAGAACTGGACTAATGTGGTCGTACTTCCTGGTTCTAGTCAGGACTAATGTGGTCGTACTTCCTGGTTCTAGTCAGGACTAATATGGTCGTACTTCCTGGTTCTAGTCAGGACTCGAGCTGCTGCATTTTGAATGTACTGCAGCTGTTTTACAGCCTGTTTGGACAGACCTGTGAGCAGGCCATTGCAGTAGTCTAACCTACTGGAGACAAATGCATGGATAAGAGAAGTGTATTTTATTTCAAAATTTTGTATTTTCAATATTTGCGTTTCCATCTCTATTGTGTAGTATTCACTTCATGTTTGTGTCCATTCTTTTAAAATACCAGGTTTGATCCCTTATTGAAAGTGTTGTCTTTTTGTAGTATAAATCAGAATAATATATATAATATATAATATATGTGTGAGCGCCTCTCAGAGCACTACAGTTCACCACATGAGGCTGATAAAAGGATCACAGTGGCTCAGTTGTAGAGCATTGGCCTTTGAGCCTGGAGGTCGTGGGTTCAAGCCCACCGACTCCCACTGATGTCTGCTGTCGTTGTGTCTTTGGGCAAGACACTTGCTCCACATTAGAATGAGTCTGGTGTGTGTGTGAATGGTTGGTGGTGGGAGGGGCCGATGGCACAGACTGGTTGCCTCGCTTCTGTCAGTGTGCCCCAGGGCAGCCGTGGCTACGGTTTATCACCAATGGGTTTGGAGATAATGAATAATGACATGTGAAGAGTCTTTGAGTGTCTAAAAAAGCGTTGTATAAAAACCGATGCATTATTATTATTAAAAGGGAGTGTCTGTGTGTCCAGGTCAGCCGCGGGGCCCCTCTCCTCCAGCTTCCCCGACAGCAGGAGCCAGTGTGGGGGCCACATGTGCAGAGGGCCCCTGCCTGCAGCCTGTGTGGAGCGGGACGTGGACAGGGAGCGGCGCGACAGGCTGGCCCACTCCTCCAGGCTCTTCTGCAGACCCGAGCACAGGGACGGCATCTGGAACCACCAGAGGAGGCGCTCTGCGGGCTACGAGGCGTAAGAGTGGACCGTGAGCTGTGAGCGGGGATGGGACGGTACCCAAGGGCCTCAACTGACTCTGGAACCATACACGGCTTAGAAAGGTTTGAGGAAGACGCCTCCGTGGGTCCCTCTTCATCACGAGGCTCAAACCGGCGGTGATTAAAGACTGGAAACATGTGAGAAAAGCAGATTAACATCCTTTTGTGAACAGGGACGAGCGTCTGCCTTCAGGGCATCGACCCCAACAAACAAGCATATGTTGCTCCTCAGAGATGGAGAAAAACAGTCATTTTGGCAAAAACAAGTGGATGATTGAAACCACAGAGTAACACAGGTGCAGAAGTCCCCAGAATGCACCAGACAAGAACATACACACAACACGCTAAAAGTACAGGACGAATCTAGACTCATTTCTCAAAGTCAATCTGTCAAACTAGTATTTTTTTCTTTTTATTTATATTTACTTGATTTTAGTGGATGTGATGTGTCAAGAATAATATATAGACCTATATTTCACACATATATAGATTATTTATAAGTTTTGCGAGATTTTTAAATTGGAGTTCCACGGTCAGATCCTTTCACTTGTCAAGTCAGAATGGCTCAAAGAGGTTTTAAAGTTCATCTGTTCTCGATAATGTTTATTATGTTTTCCAGCATCACTCTATATGCAACTCTCGTCTTTGTTCCCTGAAAACACACTTCTTCGCGGCTTGAATGGAATTTGACAAAAACAAAATACTACATAAACGCAGGGTTGCCGAGATTAACCGGTTTTACGGTAATCCCGAATTATGAAAGGATTTTAGTAATCCTCCTTTGCTGTTTGTCCAAGTCAAGGTAAAAACTGCATAATTGTCAATAAAGCTCCAAAACTGTCCCAGGTGGACTTTATTTAAAAGGATTCTGCAAATATGAAAGTGAAAGTCACACCGGCAAAAACAGGCTCTTAAAGGGACAGTACGCACATATACTCAGTCAACTAAAGAAATACAGACATAACACCTATACTACTACTACTACTACTACTACTACAAAACAATTAGTCTAAATACAATCCTGAATTTATTTCTTTATATGAACATTTTTATACTTAAAAAATATCTAATGTTCAGCTATTTAAATATATGTATATTTTAAATATAATACATACAATAACATTATGTAAAATATTAAATGATAATATTAATTGTTCCATCTGAATTTTGTTCATAATGTTGATAATTGTGGTTAATTGTAAAATCGAGGCCAGAGTCGAGAGGGGCCAGAGTCGAGAGGGGCCAGAGTCGAGAGGGGCCAGAGTCGAGAGGGGCCAGAGTCGAGAGGGGCCAGAGTCGAGAGGCCGGCAGATGTGGTTGATGAGGGAACAACAGTGTAACCCGCTGAATCTAAAACGACGTGACTGAAGACGTTTTTATATAACCAGCAAAACTCATGAGCGGCCCCAGAAAAGCGCTGTGTCTTTGGTGGGGCGGGGCCAGTGCGGGGCCAGTACAGGGCCAGTGTGGGGCCAGTGTGGGGCCAGTATTTGTATTTGTATTTATTACGATCTCCATTAGCTGTATAAAAACAGCTATTCTTCCTGGAGTCGTGTGGGGCCAGTGTGGGGCCAGTGTGCAGATTTCAATGCTATTTTTAAAAAAAGATGTAGTTTTATTAAGGAAGGAGTCACAGATAGAGTAGGTTGAAGTGGATTTAACTAATTAGAAACTGTTTGTTTGTAAGCACAGACAGAGATGGATCACACTGAGACCTGGACCAAGCCCCCGCTGCACTTTGACCTCTGCTTTAAGGAGAGCTAATACTACAGTTCATAATTTACTCTGTCAGTAATATATATAAGTATTTAAATGTGGTACTATACTGGTCTTTGTATTTATACAGTGGTTTGCAAAAGTACTAATAGGACTAATACCACTGTGACCACAGGATTTTAATTTGATTTACTTAAAGATGCAGTCAGTGATTTATCCAGGCGCGATTTTTAAAATACTGTAGGAAACGTCCCTAAACCGTTGGACTCCCCTGATCTGACACAAACAGACTCAAAGTTCAACATTTTCTAGTTGTAGTTATTTACTTGAAATACCAGCCTTAGTGAAAGTAAGTGACAGTGGTCTCTTGGTCCAAGTCCGACCCCAAACAGAATGTACTGTGAGACGCCATGTCCTCACGGAAACACACAAAACGGGTGATCTCTCATCTTTGCACTCATGCCTGGTCTGAATGTTCATGTGAGCAGCGGTACTAGTTGTACAGTGTAACTCGTGTTGTTGGATTAGGCTTGTGGACCGTGGTGATATAGATATTTTGTATACCAATCTACCCTGTGTGTGTGTGTGTTACATGGAAGTAGTAGTACTGTTTAAAGAATCATCAGACGGACACCTTTTTATACTTTTTTTCCACCCTAAGGCAAGACTCTCATTCATTTCCATTGGTCTCTACTCTACTCTACTCTACTCTACTCTACTCTACTGGGTTGTGTTTCCATTGCACAGCCCACAACAAACCAGTACCCATGGACAGTCCTTGTTAACCGTGGCTTCCAGCATCACCGTCGGTCAGAACACTTTAGTACCAGCTTGGTGCGTGGATAGAACCAGGACCAAGAGGGACTAAAGAAGGACATGGTTCTGGTCAAACAGGACAGATGGAAACACTCCCAATCAGGGTAGAGTAGAGTAATGTAGAGTAATGTAGGGCAGAGTTGCAGTGGAGAAAAGCATTCTTCAGACCAATGTGTACAATATAATGTACAATATAATGCATAATCTAATCAGGCTGGTGTGGGCCAGTGTGGGCCAGTGTGGCTGCAGGTTTTCATTCCTGCTTGGTTGGACTCCACCCATTTTCTCAAGTGAGTCCAGTCTTAACCTGAGCCTGGCCTTATCCATGTACGTCTGGTCTTACCATGTGTAAACTCTGGTCCATGGTCATCTTCTACATGTACGTCTGGTCTTACCATGTGTAAACTCTGGTCCATGGTCATCTTCTACATGTACGTCTGGTCTTACCATGTGTAAACTCTGGTCCGTGATCATTTCCTACATGTACGTCTGGTCTTACCATGTGTAAACTCTGGTCCATGGTCATCTTCTACATGTACGTCTGGTCTTACCATGTGTAAACTCTGGTCCATGGTCATCTTCTACACTTACATCTGGTCTTACCATGTGTAAACTCTGGTCCATGGTCATCTTCTACATGTACGTTGGTTGGAATGAAGACCTACAGCCACGTCAGCTTCCACTGAAACCAGTTTGACTCCTTGGATTGGGTTTGGGTCTGCTTCAAAAAACATGATCCATTTGACTCCAACCAGTACTACTACTTGTATTCCTTGTACCTGCTGTAACAATGCTGTAACGATGGTGTAACGATGGTGTAACGATGGTGTAACGATGGTGTTACGATGGTGTTACGATGGTGTTACTGTGGACGCATGCTTCATATGTAGCACGTATACTGTTTCCCGTGTGTACTTCTGTAGCGGAGGGAGTCCAGAGATCAAGGAACAAGTATGAGTGGACAATCAGATTGTACATGCAGCATGTGGCTGAGTCTGAACCAGGACTACACAGGGTCAAAAACTGGACTAGAACCGTAAAAGCTGGGGTACCTAATTTTCATCTAACTAGGTCCTACATAGATCTCAGTCTGAACAGTCACTTGTCTTCACAAGCGAGTATTTTCAGCCTCTGTCCCATCTAAGGTCAGTTTAGTTATACTGTGTCGTCTCCAAAGTGAACTTAGTCCCACATTTGACCCACTATGGCCTCTGTCAGGGGCAGTGGTCGGTGTAGATGTTGTTCAGGACCAGTGCTGGAGGATTTTTCCCATTGTACATGTTTTTAGAGGTAGGGGAACCCGGAGGAAACCTGCGGAGAGAAGGGGAGAACAAACAAACTCCCGTCGAAAGACCCTGTTCCGACCGAGATTCAAACCCATGACCTTCTTGTTGAGAAGCAAATGTGCTAACCACTGTTGCCCCAAAGAAATCAGTCTTCCAAAAGAGTGAAATAGTGACTCCCAGGGCTCTTGTCTACAGGTACATGTAGCATGTTGTGGTCTGCTTTAACAGGGCTCTATAGAATAACAAAAGTTAGGTATCCCAGCTTAAAAACCAGAGAATAATAAGAATTTATCAATTCTTAAAAACAAGGTCACATGTGTAATTTGGTCAAATAATGCAGTGATTGATTTGACACATTTTGGCATATTTTTGTAATCCAATTGTAAATAGAAGCATATTGTGTTAGTGAAATGTGTTGTTGAACATGCCACATGAACGTAAAACATGGATCCAGGACTCTGACGGTGACACATGTAGGTACTGTATATGTGACCGGGCTGGACTCGTTTGCTAATGTGACCCACTGGTTCGAAGGCACCGTTGACCTGACGACTCTAGTTCCTGACCATGAGGTGGGCCATTTCTAGAATCTTTCCTCATAGTTGAAAAAAGGTTCTTGCTTGAATCTGGTCAGAAACAGGACGATTAAACTGATCATTGATTCTTGATTTATCTCTAGAAGTTGATATTTCTGCAGTGAACATGAGCCATGTTTCCACCAGCCCTACCCTACTCTACTCTACCCTACTCTACCTTGATTGGGAGCTTGCTTTTACGGTACTTCCCTAGTCCCTCTTGGCCCTGGTTCCATCCATCCCGAGCTGGTACTAAAGGGTTCCAACCAACAGTGGAAGCCATGGTACCAGATAGAGTAAACAGAGGGTAGAGTAGGATAGAGGAGAACAGTTTCAAGTAGGGCTGGTGGAAATGGAGCTATGGTCTAACCAGGACTGAGCTGGACCGAGTGCATGTCCGTGCACCGCAGTTTTACACGCTCTGGCTGTGTGTCTGCAGAGATTCAGATGCTGTTGTGTTTGCCGTCAGCTGTCTGTCACATCATCTCTAGTTTTGTGCCTTTTACGTCTTCATCAAAACCCTGTAGTCTGTTTAACACTGTGCAAAGTGGACAACTGTGGACAACTGTGGACTATCGACTCGTGGAC